GCATACTGTATACGCATCGTATATATTAACACGCATTAACATTAACAATCTCACTCACACTCACTAGAAAACAATTCACTGTTAATAACTCATTGTCAAATTTCCCCCTTATTCTTTTGGTATAGTAAGCCGAAGGGTGCACATCCTACGCATGCCCCACCAAAATATTAATATGCTTCACCGGTGGGGCATGCGCCCCACGTTGGGAATCATTGGTTTAAACGGCCGCAGTCGCTAACAGTAGCGAGTCACAAGTGTCTAGGCAGGGGAGATAAGTCCGTTAAATCAATATAAAATTAGCGAATGCGCCTGTAAGCCCAATAGAAACAGTTGTTAGAACGAATTTTCTGTCAATTTAGCAGGTCAGTGTGCAAATTTATCGAACGTGAATCCGTGAAACGGAGGAGAGAGTCCCCGTGCGCCCACCCTCCTCGGCAGACCATTCGGACAGGCTCAAACGTGATTTCAGCACGAAATGTCATCTCATCAACTGTCATTTGCAAATAACACAATTATGCCGGAAACGGGTAAGTGGACGCCCGGTGGTTGATGGTAGGCGGCGTGTGTCTGGCAACAATCATCATCAGAGATGTTTCAACTTAAAGGCCCACTGCAAATCAGCGTGATTTCTCATCTTCAGCATGGCTACTGTTTCGGATCGAAGGCACACTACTGATTAGTCCTGCTCGTTTCCGGGCATGCTAATCTACTCAGGCCCATTTGTGTTTCCTCAACACCCACAGCGCCAACCTGGAGCTTCTACTGCAATTATGTTGAGCGGCCATCAGTTACAGTAATAGTATGTGTCCTATCAGAGCTAGAGTTTTACCTTAAGCCCTCACTGAGTCAGGTTGTGACACAAGGTCGGTTTTTAACGTGGGGAACCGAGTGTTTCAACTCGGGCCGCTGGTCTAAGCTGGTCTTAGCTTGTCTAAGCTGGTCTTAGCTTGTCTAAGCTGGTCTAAGCTGGTAATAGCTCGTCTAATCTGGCCATAGCTTGTCCAAGATGGTCAGAGCCTGCCCAAACCAGTAATAGCCGGCATTTATACTTGGAGCCTCGGGTGGATTGAAAAAGATTCCAATAGACTTATTGAAGGGATTCCTGGTAGACCATGCCTTAAATAAATACAAAAAAAATGTTCTCACAAGCACAGACCACACCTTACGAGGGGCGTTATCAATGTAAAATGTGTGTGTGTGTGTGTGTGTGTGTGTGTGTGTGTGTGTGTGTGTGTGTGTGTGTGTGTGTGTGTGTGTGTGTGTGTGTGTGTGTGTTTAAAACTGATCAGTGGAAAATGTCATGATGCCATTTCTGATTTTAGGTCTCTTTGACCCGGAAATAAATGTGTACGCACCAGAAACCAAAGTAATAATAATAATAATAATAATAATAATACGCCTGTGGGCTATCTAATATTGTAGAAACGGTGCAGGTGACAGAGCTGCTTGGAACAGCTCATGTGCTAAGAAAAATCTGGCTTATCTTAGCTAGACATAGCCGGTCATACCACTGCTACGTAACAGATGTCACGCAACAGTGGGCGAACTCAAGGGAGGAGAGAAGGCCTCCATCACAGAATAGATACATCTGCAACATCCATCCCGATGGGAGAAACCCACTTTTCCTCCTATGCAAATCCACTCGGAAGAATCCGGGTAGAAAGCCCCATGTCTCATCAGAGCCATGTACGGTTTTGAATTCAATTTTGTCCTTCCCTTACACTTATTTCCAACCACAGCTAGAGGCTCCAGTCTGCCCCACTGTGCAATTCATAGTTGAGGGACGAAAGAAATGGATTCATGCCTTTTAACAAAGGTATTTGTGCTAAAGTGAATGTAATGATAACGAGTAGAATTCGAACTCGGCTTGCTGAATCTGTCTACAGACAACACAGTGTCATCTACGTATCTGATATTGTTAAGACTGTGCTCACCTATAATAAAAACCTGGTAGAATCTCCAGCACCCTTAAGACTGCCTCACTGTAATGGTTGAATAAATCCAGTAAGAAGACACATCCTTGTCTTACGTATTTTTTAGTTTATGTACTCAATTTTCTATTCAGGAAGCAAACCACCAGAATACAGATTATTCAAACATATTCTGATAATTTGGATTATTGTAATATTTATTCTGGTTATTTTGAGTATTCTAACATATTCTGATTATTCTAAAATTTATTCTAACATATTCTGATTATTCTAATATTTATTCTAACATATTCTGACTATTCTAAAATTTATTCTAACATATTCTGATTATTCTAATATTTTTATTGTAACATATTCTGATTATTCTAATATTTATTCTAACATATTCCAACTATTCTAAAATTTATTCTAACATATTCTGATTATTCTAATATTTAATATTCTGACTATTCTGAAATTTATTCTAATATATTTATTCTAATATTTATTCTAACATATTCCAACTATTCTAAAATTTATTCTAACATATTCTGATTATTCTAATATTTATTCTAATATATTCTGACTATTCTAATATTTATTCTAACATATTCTGATTATTCTAATATTTATTCTAACATATTCCAACTATTCTAAAATTTATTCTAACATATTCTGATTATTCTAATATTTATTCTAACATATTCTGACTATTCTAAAATTTATTATAACATATCCTGACTATTCTAAAATTATTCTAACATATTCTGACTATTCAACATTTTTTCTAACAAATTCTGACTATTCGAAAATGTATTCTAACATATTTTGACTATTCTAAAATTTATTCAAACATATTATGATTCTTCTTACTTTTATATTAACATATTCTGATTATTTGGATTATTCTAACACATAACATCATTGCATCATATTATTCTAACAGTTCTGAATTATTCTAACATCCTTCCCATGCCGTTAACGATACAACTGGTATGAACAATTCAAGAACTAGAAATAATATTGATTTGGTGTGGATAAATATCAAAATAAGAATAACGTCTCTTCTCGTCTGGAATCTGGTAACGAGTTAATGAAAATGGTTGACATTATTGCCAGATACTCACACTCCTGCCATCCATTTCGCCATTTCAGGCATAATTTTGCTATTTACAAATGACAGTTGATGAAATGACATTTCTTACGAAAATCATATGTGCACAGAACTGACACAAAGGAGTCTGTCAAATTCTAGAAAAGGGATCCTTTCTTTGTAAAGTTCTTGCTCCATTGACTTCCTAAAAGCTGTCTAAATTACCGAAACATTAGAAATCTTTTCGGAGTCGGACCAATAAATCTTTCAGCATCCGCTCGCATTTTTAAAGTTTAAAGCTGGTGTGTGTGTGTGTGTGTGTGTGTGTGTGTGTGTGTGTGTGCGTGCGCGTGCGTGCTCGCTTGCATATGCATCTCCATGTGTGTATATGTGTGTACATGTAAATGTGCGTGTGTGTGTTGTGTGTGCGTGTCTGTGTGATTTGATTCGATTTCAGTGCAGTCGACTGGCGAAATTCAAACGTTTTGCTTTCGATCAACATGTGTTTTCTTTATAAGACATCCAGTGTGTGTTCACCTTCAGGATGCTGTAACTAAATATTTGTCATTTATAATACACATCCCTAACTTTGGTTGGTGAATTTCTGAAAAGGAAAAAAAAATCTTTCCGTGTATAACCCGCACAGGCATTTTAGATTTTCTAGCAGCTAAATGGAACTAAAATTTAAAATTTGGTCAGAATAGGGTCACATTTAGGCAGAAGCAGTTTGTATGGGCTTGCAATTTAGATATAATTGATTTCCCCTGCTAGAGATAAAGGGAGACCTTTGTTAAGGATTTAGCACTATTTACAAAAACAATGATCAGTTTAGAAAGGGGACATATATTTCCTGCTAGGCCTATTATCAGGTTTTCACAGGTCTGACTAGACGTGAACGTTGTTTCATGATTTAATATTGACTGATATGTTTTTTTTACAGTTTATCAATCCTTGCTAGGTTATTAAATGCCAGAAAAGTTTTTGGGATCGTCAGAATTTTTGAAGATAATATTGATTTACTGATGCAAATCCAACTATTTAACCCATGGCTGGAGGGAGAAGTGGTATTTTCGCGTAAATGAATATAATGAACCCCAATGGAATTGGAACTCTATTTTCCAATTAACAATTGCCAGCCGTTATCTGTTACACCATCCGCACATCCATGCTTACAACATCTGGTATTCTCAAGCGGTTAGCCATCCAGGTACTGACCAAGCTCAACATTGCTTAACTACAGCGATCGTACGAGAACCGGTTTTTAAACATGACATGACCATAAGTCTTTTTTAAACAGAAAACGAAATCACCGGTCCTACAGATTGGACACGTATAATTTTTCTGCCAAAGATTTGTTTTTTTCGATGAATGGCAGGAAGATTATCTGAATTTCTAGGATGAAGAGGTATCTGTATTTACACTGTTTACATGCAGGCTATTGTCCTCATCTTTGTTGTCGCTATCACAACGTTTCGACTGTTGTGCATTCAGGCCTTCATCAGTCGTACATTGATCCGTGTAACCTACAAGAAATTCTGAGTTGAAATCTTCATTTAATCTATGGGCGTAGAATGTTCTCGTTCCAATGTCTATGTCAGCTTGTTACAACTGCTGCTGCTGTATAGGGCATATGAGAAGGGGGCCAGCTGGAACTTTGTACCGCAGCTCCACGGCAACCATGTAACACCCACCTCGAGAATAAGCGCTTTCTACTACCCCCAGCCCGACATACACTTACATTCACATTTACATCACTATACTTCTTTTTATTAATAGCTTAAAGATCGCTCTATCAGGCAGCATTTAAGCTAGCTCCTGTGGTGGTCTTTTAATTGGACCTTCATCACAATAGGTTATGAGGAGTAGATGCGATAGGCAACAATAAACTACAGAAGAGCTCAAAATTGATCGCTGCATTTAAGGATTGCATTAAGCTTACCTTTTAAAAGATCAAAGACAATTCTTCTGCCGCCATTTAATTTAAAGACAATTTGATGTACGTAGGTCCTTACTTTTCATACAAACAATTATTTTCATTTCATGAGTGACTTTCGCTGAATTTCGCACTTAATTTCAATTATTCTCAAAGTTATTTAGAGTTATTGTACAAAAAAAAATTTATCGCAAAAAGATTACATAAAAAATCGTGGAAAACAATCACAGTAATGAAAACTTGGGAATCCAAAATTTCATGATTGCGGGTCCAGATCTGACCAGCAATATTTTTTTAATTTTCTTACGGGGTCGGTCTGATTCCAAAATGGTATGATATGTTGGGCTACGACCTCCAGGAATTAAGTTGAAATAGTGTGACACAGTGACACACTGACATTCACATTTATTATATAGATTATTGTGGGCCTAGTTGTATTAACATTTAATAACACCGATATTATCTACCTACAGCCCGATGCATAGATGCGCAAATTAGCGTAATGATGCGACTAACGCGCAACAGAATTTTCACGTCATCATGTGCTAGTGTCCCATATTATTTTGTTTCATAAGGACTTTATGTATGTTAATTCCAAACATGGAAATAAAGCATTTATCAAGTTTTGTACGGAGATTTACTGGACATCAAATTCTCAATTTTGAGAAAAAAAAATTTAGCCTGCCCCGGGGCACCAAGGGGGGTCATGTACCGCCTTGCAAAATTTCTCTTGGAGGCTCTGCTGCTGCTGTTTAACAAAAATAAAAGCTTCAGTGAGTGTAATCAAGCATCACAAGCAGAAGCAGCACACATAGCAGGCAGGTTAGGCTTAAGGATCCAAGTTTTCCAAGAAGAACTGTACTACGGGACTAGTGAATTTGGTGACATAGTAATTATGAGTTCAATCCTGGTACCGGACAGTGTTTACTTGGATTCAGTGGAAACAGGGCGAGCAATAACGAGATATCCCAAGACATAGAAAGATTAAATAAAGGGTTCAGTTCAGGATTCCCTGGTTACCTGGTTATATATATATATATATATATATATATATATATATATATATATATATATATATATATATATATATAACAGTCAGTTTTTTACAAGTTTACAATAAGAAATTGTTTGAAGACATCAGTTACAATCGATCTATGGGCTACACAAATAAAAAAACGTTCAACCCTACGATTTTGTAAAGTTCAATATCAGTTTCATTGACACTATTTACATTATTCGGAATATCGTCCTCATCTTTGTTGTCATATTTATCACAACGTATTGGCCGCTGTACGCTCCGGCCTTCTTCAGTTGGTCGAACTGAACCCTTTATTTCGCTCACTGGGGTAGACTGTTCTCGTTCCACGTGCCATGTTTAATGAATGTCAGATGTCAGTTATCTCCTGTTAATTTCCCCTCTCCAAGTTCTCTACTGCCTTAACCGGGTACTGAACTCGCAACTCTTTGGGTCTTGTCACTGGTTAAGGCAGTGGAGAACTTGGAGAGGGGAATTAACAGGAGATAACAACGGCCGAGACGTTGTGATAAATATGGCGACAAAGATGAGGACAATAGTCCGAATAATGTAAATAATGTACATAATACCTCATCTCAGAAATCAAGATTTCATTGAATCTGTTTTCTATACGGACGCAGGATAGAAGCAAGTAATGAATGAACCTATTGAATCGTTCTGTTTTGTTTTTGAAAAGTCCTAAGCTTTGGGCCTTTACAGAGAAATATAAATGGAATCACAACAAAAAAAAATCAGTCAACACATTCACTTTCCATCCGTCTTCAATTGTCGACTCTTTTTAACAAATAAGCTTATGCCCCATGCCACAACCGAAAGTTCAACGGACTCCTCTCTCTCTCTCTCTCTCTCTCTCTCTCTCTCTCCGTTCCTCTCTCTCTCTCTCTCTCTCACTCCCTTTCTCTCTCTCTCACTCTCCCTTTCTCTCTCTCACTCTCCCTTTCTCTCTCTCCCTTTCTCTCTCCCTTTCTCTTTCTCTCTCTCACTCTCCCTTTCTCTCTCTCTCCCTTTCTCTCTCTCACTCTCCCTTTCTCTCTCTCTCAATTTCCATTTCTCTCTTTCCCTTTCTCTCTCTCTCTCTCTCTCACTTTCCCTTTCTCTCTCTCACTCTCCCTTTCTCTCTCTCACTCTCCCTTTCTCTCTCTCTTTCCCTTTCTCTCTCTCCCTTTCTCTCTCTCTCACTTTCCCTTTCTCACTCTCCCTTTCTCTCTCTCTCACTCTCCCTTTCTCTCTCTCTTTCCCTTTCTCTCTCTCTCCCTTTCTCTCTCTCTCCTTTCTCTCTCTCTCCCTTTCTCTCTCTCCTTTTATCTCTCTCACTCTCCCTTTCTCTGTCTCTCAATTTCCATTTCTCTCTCTCCCTTTCTCTCTCTCTCTCTCACTTTCCCTTTCTCTCTCTCACTCTCCTTTTCTCTCTCTCTCACTTTCCCTTTCTCTCTCTCCCTTTCTCTCTTTCTGTCTCTCTCTCTCTCTCTCCTACTCTACCTCTGTGTGTGTGCACTTATGTAAATCTCCTCTCTTTCTCATACACACACATACAGACTTTTATTTAAACTCAAACATCAGAAAAAAAAAACATTCATTTCACACAAAACGTTTTTCTATCGACCAACTTTAAATTACATTAATCTCCTTTTCTTTTTTCTTTTTGTTGTTGTATTTCGTTTGAAGCATACATATCAGATTATAATTATTGCGATTCTGTCAATCAATCTATGTGTTATTTTGATCTCTTTGTCAATCTGTCAACTTCGCTCAATCCATGTATGTGTTATTTTGATTTATTTTGTCATGTTAGAGAAAAAACTTTTCTCCAGAATCTATCTTACATATTTATAAGTTTACCATTCGTCCTTGCTGAGAATATGACTGTCACATTTGGTCTGGTGTTCCTGATATATATTTAGATATGCTTTATAGAATTCAAAGAAGAATCTGCAAGGTTATTGGTCCTGACCTGACATCTCAGCTTCAGTCACTTTCCGCCGCCATAACGTAGCTTCCCTGTGTCTTTTCTATAAATACTTTTATGTTAATTGTTTTGATGAACTTTCCGCCATGGTAGCTAGACTTTATGAATTTAAATGAAGTACTTGATTGGCGGCAAGGTCTCATCATTTTACAGTTGAAATGGCTAGATGTAACCGTAAGTTCTATGCTAACAGTTTCTTTTTTCGCACTTCTCGTTTGTGGGACCCTATTCCGGTTTCTTGCGTCCCAATGAATTTTGACCTTCAAAAATTTAAATTTAATGTCAATCGTTATCTTCTGTTTTCTTAATTCCTTACTTTATTGCTCCCTCTCCTTTCACACACAAATTTTCTTTATCAATCAACTTTAAAATTCCGTCAGTTTAATGTCTTTTTTATTTAGTTTTTTTCATTTTATCTCTCTCTCTCTCTCTCTCTCTCTCTCTCTCTGTGTCTGTGTGTGTGTGCGCGTGTGAGTGTGTGTCTACCTTACTCTTTTTGAGTAGGGTACACATCTATTTATCATATCTCAGTTGCGTCTCTGTCCTTGGACAGAGTGCGCTCAGGGGCTTCTTGGTCAAAGGACAGAGGGGCAACTGAGGAAAATTATACTGAAGAGGTGCCCAGCCCTGGGGAACAGCTGCCCGAGGCCGCGCCCTCCCATTGCACAAGAGGGAGAGATTCGGTGCTCGCACCGAGGCCAGCGCAACCGACGGTTGCGGGGGCTGTGGGGAATTTTTGTCCCTTGTCCGAGTGTACGCGCTCGGGACCCCACTTTAATACGACCTTGGGTCACATCTCGTTTTGGTGGGGGAACGAGTAAACACTGTGTGTGTGTGTGCGTGTGCGTGTGTGTGTGTGTGTGTGTGTGTGTGTGTGTGAATCCTTTCATTTTAAGCATGCATATAAATATATCGTTATTGTTATTCTGTCAATCCATGTATGTGTTATATTGATTTATTTTGTTAAGATTCTCACAGTTTTAAACTAACTCCAATCAAATTTAGATTCCCTACAAGTTACAAACTATTAATTCTAATATCATCCCCTGTTTCCTGTTCAGAATTTAGTTTCCGGTTACTTCTATAGTCTACTTCAATTCTATACTTCTAACATCTCCGTCTAAACTCTTAAATATTATTTACTATTTCTTTATTTCTTTCCTCAATAGGAATTAGATAGACTATTTACATTATTCGGACTATTGTCCTCATCTTTGTTGCCATATTTTTCACAACATTTCAGGTGTTGCACGCTCCGGCCTTCTCCAGATAGTTGGAATGTCGAACTGAACCGTTCATTCCACGTGTTTGCGAGATAACAGAGGGAAGTAATGAAAAAGAAGGTTTACTACACGAAGGTTTTTGAATTAATATATATATAGTATTCGTATTTTTTTTCATACTATTCATGGCTTTTAAGAGACTCCTTTTCTTAAATCTATGAATTACCATATATTCTTTGGAAATGGAATGGCCTTCTAGAGGTCAGAGAGTCTCGTCTGCCATTTAACCCATAGCTGGGTAGGAGAGACGGATTCATGCTTTTCCCAAGGAAATTTGTGCGAACGCGAAGGCAATAAACAATTATAAATATTTTGTAATGGCGTGTCTCTTCAAGACGTAGGTGATCATGGCTCTCCACAGATTCCTTTTCTTTGCTATCTCTGAACTGGCAAGATTTCTTAGGAAAGACAGGATGCTTCCCCATTGCCTTCTCCACGTTTTAGGCCCTTCTTTTAGATTTATGGACACCAAGGTCTAGTGATCCCAGTCTAGCTTACAATTTAACTCATAGCCGAACAGGTGGGGGGGGGAACAGATTCAGGCTTCAGTGAAAGTGAATGCAACAGACTTGCCCGGAATTGGAACTCGTCTCAACGCTTATAAATAATATCCACTACACGAACCGCATATAAATAAATAACACATGCACACATATACACACGGCTCACAGCCACATCACGTTGATACATCGGTTCCCGTACGATCGCCGAAGTTAAGCAATGTCGAGCCTGGTCAGTAACTAGATGAGTCACTGCTTGGGAATACCAGGTTTTGTAATCTTGGATTTGCGAGTGGTATAATGGATAATGACTCCAAATTGTTAATCGGAAAGCCGAGTTCTAATTCCAGTCGGATTCGTTAGTTACGCGCAAATATCCTTTCGGAAAGATATGAATCTGCCTCTTCTCCCCCAGCTATGGGTTAATTAGTAAGATGTGTATCACTAAAACCATTATTATCTCCAAAAAATAAAATGAAATTGTATACAAAACATTTAAATTTTGGCATTAAATAAGTCATACTATATGTATTTACTTGACCCCCCCCACTGAATCAGGTTGTGACACAAGGTCAGTTTTTAACGTGGGGACCCGAATGTTTTCACTCTGGCCGCTGGTCCAAGCTGGTCTTAGCTGGTCATAGCTTGTCCAAGCTGGTCAGAGCTGGTCTAAGCTAGTCATAGCTGGTCTTGGCTTGTCCTAGCTGGTCCAGGCCGGAGCCGGTCCAGATAGTCCTAGCCGTGATACCACCAGCCCGGGGACAGAGCCCTGTGCCAGGTAAGTCATATTATATGTCACTAACCAAATAACCAAACACACACATACACAAATACATTAGCTTTGAAATCTAAAAATATGAGGAGTTATGAAAAATTCCTGGGTCCAACTTTTTTCAACGGATATAGTAAAATAAATACGAGATGAAAACAACGCATAACCTACCTAGAGAAATGTTTAAGAACTACGAAGGACAGGAAAATGTGGAGAGCCATGATCACCTACGTCCTCAATGGACACTGTATATAGAAGAAGAATGAGCTTGAGTAAATGGATGGAGGAACAAGGTTTAGGAGAGATAAAAAAAAAAAAAAATTATTAAGAACTACAAAGGACAGGAAATTGTGGAGAGCCATGATCAGCAACGTCGCGAAGGGACATGTCACATAGAAGAAGAATGAGCTTGAGTAAATGGATGGAGGAACAAGGTTTAGGAGAGATAACAAAAAGAAAACATTTATTAAGAACTATAAAGGACAGGAAATTGTGGAGAGCCATGGTCGCCAACGTCCTGAAGGGAAACGTCACATAGAAGAAAGTTCGCTGGCGCAGAAAGAAAACAATAGTACTTCTTAGACAAGGTAGCAAAAGAAAGCAAGAAAAAAGGATTATCAACCGCAAGAAGACAAAGTGTGGGGTACTACTTTAGTGTGCGGGCTATACCGCAGTTTCCGTGGTCTACGCTGTGAAATGACGTTTAGCGTGCAATCTGCAATTTCATGGTATGAATTTATAATGATGACTATTAATGTACTATTTATTTGTTTATTTATAATGATGACTATTAATGTACTATTTATTTGTTTATGTACTGACACATATACAAAAACAATACCCTTTCCGGTGGCAAAAGCTGCTGGTGGCGCCTGGGGTGGCAGTACCGCTTTATCCACCAAAACTGTGTTACCTCCCCTGGTTGGCGGCTAACGAGGGAAGGGTGTCGCACGTGCTTTCACGTGTTGCATGTAGATAATTTAGCCATTGATGTGTAAAAGTGCAGGTAGACTGAACGCTGAAGTGCTATCAAGTATGTTCATTGGCAAGAGAAAAAGCCCAAGATGCTAGCTAGGAATTGGAATCCACTTCAGACATGTACAAAAATATCTGGTAATTGTTTCAACAGAGAATGAAAAATGCGACACCATAACCCGAACACGATCTGAGTTAACGAAAGATGCTTCCCAAAGGCTAAGCAAAGTACTTAGAAATAGGAAAATTTTGTTTTAAAAACAAAGAAAAAAAATGTTGAATTGCTATGCGATATCAATCATCTTGTATGTCAGTGAATACTCGATAATCACCTCATAGATGAAGAGGTAACTGGGGGCAGCAGAAATATGGTGCTACAGAAGGATGCTGAGAATTCCATGAACGAAGCGAGTAAGCAACAAGGAAGTCTTAAAGAAAATGGTAACAAAAAGAACACTATTTACTATTGAGATTACTGAGGCATCTGGAAGAGACATGGCCCGTGGAACTAGAACAATCTACCCCGGTGAACAAAATAAACGGTTCAGTGCGAAATTCCAATCACCTGAAGAAAGCTGGAACATACAACGGCCGAAACATCGTGAATATGGCAATAAAGATGAGGACAACAGTCCGAACAATGTAATTAATGTAAATAATTACAATACCTCATCTCAGTAACATATACAGGTATTAAAGAAGGCTGGAGCGTACAACGGTCAAAACGTCGTGAATATGGCAATAAAGATGAGGGCAACAGTCTGAACAATGAAAATAATATAAATAATTACAATACCTCATCTCAGAAATACAGACAGATATAGATGAAGGCCGGAGCGTACAACGACCGAAACGTCATTAATATGATAATAAGGATGAAGACAACAGTCCGAACCTTTTAAATTATGTAAATAATTACAATACCTCATATCAGAAATATAGACAGATGTTGAAGTTCCTCAAAGACACATGGCCCAGTGGATAAAAAAAATGCTTTGTTTGGATACAGTGATTTGACCCCAAAGAGTTCAATTACTGGTTACTGCAGGAATGAAGAAAAACTTGGAGTGTTGAGTTAAAGGGAGATAACTGAGACATCCAGAAGAGGCATGAGACATGGAACTAGAACAATTTACCACGTTGGACGAAATAAAGGGCTCAGTTCGAAATTCCACTTGAAGAAGGCCAGAGCGTACAACGGCCGAAACGTCGTGAATATGTCAATAAAGATGAGGACAGCAGTCTGAACAATGTAAATAATTACAATTCCTCATCTCAGAAATATAGACATATAAAAAGAACGCTTATACTCAGAATCAGAAAGAGTCAGATGAAATTCCTTGGGTATATAACGAGAAAAGATGGTGTGGAAAACTTAAGCCTCACAGGGCCTATTGGGGCCAAGAGAGACAGAAGGCAGTGAGCCACCTACATGACGAGCATGCGTGAATGGACGGTAGGAAGGAGGGCGGGAAGCTTGGCAATGGGAGTAACATTGTTAAAGGCGATAAAGAATAGGAAGTTGTGGAGAACCATGATCATTCACGTCCTGAAGGGACACAGCACATAGAAGAAGAATTTTTTTTTTTTTTGTCTGTTTATTTTAGTTTTTTTTTTTTTTTTGTCGTTTGGGGCGGAATGCCTTCCTTCACAATAACCACCAATAATTTGGGACGCTAAACTAGAAGATTGCTAATAAAGCTAAGAAGAGAAATTCGATGGCGCTTACATTTTTTCTTTATTGCCGATTCGAGGTTTGCATTGCAAATAATTTGCTAAAATATTTTCAATTTATTTGGTTTATTTAATAAACCAAATAAATTGCAAATATTTTATCAAATGAAAAAAAAGAACATTCTTAAAGACTTCAGCTTCGAGTTAAAGTTGAAATGACAGATTAATTAATTAAACAAACACTGAATATTCGTTAGTTTTGACCCCTGACCACCGAACATTTTATCATTCGTCTCTGAATTCTCGTCTGGTTAAAGGAAAACTAAAATCAAAATCAAATCAGGAACATAGTTCTTGTGGGGGAAAAAAAAGTGATTCAAGGGAAGTAACTCCGGCATACATAATTCAAAACCTCAACAATTCTTGCTTGATGCTTCATACGGAAACTAATAAAAGCCAGCTTCTTGGAGACTCGACAACTACGGAGCATTTCTCTGCTGTATAAATAATAATGTAGAGGCTACCCCTATGGTAAAACATAAGCAAGTATGTGGGGTGCCAACTTTGTTTCAGGAAAGCATTAAAAATACTATTGGATTTTTTTTATAAATCAAATAAAAGTAAAACATTTTCTTTATTTAAGTCAACAGTAGATGTTTATATAAACGTTCGCACATTTTGGGCAGGAGTAATTAATTTGGACTCACTTTTTTTCTTAATTTACAATGAATTCCATAAAAAAATCATTTACAGTGCATTAAAATCATTTTCATTTTTAAATTCATTCCAAACGTAAACTATTCAATACATTTCTATATTAAAATCATTTATAATGCTTTCTTACAAGATAATCATTTATATGAAATTCTATAATAAAATTTAAAATCATATATGCAATTCATTCTTATAGTAAAATAATTTAAAAGGATTTGCTATAGGAAAATCATTTATGATAAAAACATCTATAGTAAAATCTTTTACAATACATTCTTATATTGAAGTGGTTTATCTACCATTATTATTTGTTTTCGTCGGCATCACCAATTGTGATACCTACGTCGGGGTTACCAATATATGTAGTGATAGGTGTACCATGGTTGTTTATTTCCGACGGGATCATTAAATATGTAGCTGTTGTATTATCATCGTTGTAGTGATTGAGTTGCCAATATTTAACTAGGGCTAGGAAAGATGAGATTAAGGACAATGTGTGAAAGCAATGCAATTTATACTTGACGTAAATAGCACATAGAATAAAATACAAAATTGAACTGAATGATTCCAAAACATAACAATTAGATTTATTAATGTTTGATGTACATGAATGCGAACTGAAAAAGTAGGACAGAGTTGTGTCCCTTTGATTAGGTATTAGTTGTACCGGAGTTCATATTAAGAAAGTTTGGAATTGTGAGTTTGCAAAGTTGGTAAAAGTTCAGGAGTGATTTCAGAGTTCGTGAATGTTGGTAATTATCTTTAACGTCTGGTCAGCAATAACTAAGACGGGAGCCGGTGAAGGTTACATCTTGGCACTTGGTAACTACTACTCAAAAAGTTCACACGTGTTCGGTTTATATAATGGTCAAGTGGCTCCTAGCATATGAGCGGGAAAACAGATTGGTCGCGTGCAGGCGGTTTGATTGGTTGGAACTGACCAATCAGCAAGCTAGATTGGAGGTGATTGACCAATGAATACTTGTTATATTGTATGAAAGTAGAATTTTACTTACCAGATAGGAAGAGTGCATTTCCAAAAAATAGGTAAGGCTGGTTTGTTGTGGAAGATTCCACAATATAGTTCCAATACACAGCATTCTGTGCCTGACTTGCAGAAAATGCCATGTCTCTGAATTTTGAA